TTTAATCCTAGCACTAGGCAGACAGATGCAGGGTGATCTCTGTGAGTTTAAGGTCAACCTGGTTTACATAGCAAGTTTCAGGACAGTTAGTGCTACCCTGTCTCAAAAACACCAAAACCAATTCCTCACCCCAAAACAAACCAAACCAAGCAAAGCAAAAAAACCCCAGAAAACAAAAACTTAATTAGAAATACAAAAAAAAACTAAAATAAAAACAACACATGCCAAGCTAGCTTTGTGTGTGATTACACATTTATAACCCAAAATTCTGGAGAAAGAGGCAGGAGCTGAAGTTTTCCTGCCAGCTTCACCTAAAGGGAATTGATATTACCATGGGATAAATGAATCCATCTTTCAAGAAAGTGAAATGAATATCCAAGGAATATGCCAAAGGGGGACACAATTATCATGCATATTAAGTTTAGTTTATATACAAGGAGATCATATCACTGACCCATGAAATGCAGCATAAAAGAAGACAACCCTGTCAGCAAAAGATCATTTGTAACTCACGAGCTCCACAGTGAGTTAACAAGTCACTAAAAGATCATCTTTGAGAACTCAGCATCATTAGAAAAACCTTAGCTCTACTGACTTGATAATAAGCAAACTTTTGCAGGACATCAATAAATGTTGAGGTCAGGGCAGCTCTCACAGGCTTTGCCCCTCTCCCATCCTCAACAGGGTAAAAATCATATTAGTTAGGCTGTTGATCGTGGTTCTGGTGCTTAAAGACAGAGCTGTTTTAAAGATAGCAGATGTGAAGTCTGTTAGATCCTGCCTTGCTTCCCTGCAGCCCAGGTCTCTTCAGCTGTGAAGAGCAGAGGGCTGACTGGGCTGCCTCCATCCCTCTCCGCAGCATGCACAGACTAGGTGGCCAGATCTAGGGGTCTTGAGTTGGTGGTGATGGTGGTAGAGGTGGAGGTGGTGGTGGTGGTGGTAGAGGTGGTGAAGGTGATGGTGGTGGTAGAGGTAGTGGTGGAGGTAGTTGAGGTGCTGATGGTGGTGGTGGAGGTGGTGGTGGTAGAGCCAGTGGTAGAGAGTGTCTGTTTCTTCTGGTAACTCCATGGCATCTACTAGATGCTGCCTACTTTCTTTTTATTTCTCTTCCATCCTGGCTATATTATAAGGTGTTGGCCAAAAGAAGCTTCTCTATTAACCAATGGCAACAAAACGTATTCACAGTGTATACAGTGGAATCCCACAGCATCTCCCTCTTCTGTCTAAATTAAAAGGAAGGTTTTAAATTTAATATTGTAAAACTACATTTAACAAAACAGGTATCAGGCAAGAATTACAATATTTAATCTATTTGTATTTGGCAAAATTAAAGAAAATATTCTATCATCTGTTTTATTTTTGTGAGTCTAAAGTTTTATATCTAATTTTTCTTTTATTATAACTAAGAAAAACTATGACTATAATTATCTGTCTCCAACTCCATCAAAGATCCTAGAAAGATATAACATTACTTAAGTAAACAGGAAGTGCATTGTAAGCAACTTCCAATGTTCTAGAAATGACAGAGACATCTTGCCCTGGAGAGTCATTCAAAGTTTTTTGTAATGTTGGGACATCTATCTTCAACCTATAGCCCAATAATATCTGGTGAACTTTTCAGTGAATCAGGAAATTTGAAGATCTGTTCTGCCTTGCACTAGTAAAGTTCATCTGTTGCTTTCTTCTACAACCTGCAGAATGTCTGGCTGTTTCTTTTGTGAAGCAGGAACCCTGAAGGACTATCCCATCTTTTGGAAAGTTCAGCAATTACTTTTTTGGGGTTCCTGCATGTCCAGTTCATACAGCTACCATCAAGCAGTCCAGGCAAGGGCAGTTTCTTGCCCAAATGGCTAGCTTTGTCATACTGAAGGCAAATTCCATAACAAGTTTCTTCAATGCCTATCAACCTCTCTGAACTAATTGTTGCTTCCAGAAGCAGACATGTCTCACTGTTGAGAAAAATCTAAGTTTTTAAAACATTTTAAATGGCATATTCTCATTTGGTTTCATCTAGATTCCAGAGTATTCTTTACCTCGTCTGCTTGTCAGTGACAAGGTCTGTATAAAAGACACCGCTGAGAGCTGTTCACAGTGTGAACTCTCAAGAGTGTTGTTTCCATTGTTACAGAACCTACTGGGCCTCAATGGACCAGGATGGTAGGGTCAGTTCTATGTACAACAGAAAGTTATTATTTTCTCAACCATCTTCCTGCTGTTACATATTGCTCTGAAAATCACTTTTGTAGGATGTAAACAATGTATCATCATATTCCATGCTAATTAAAAAAAATAAAATTAAAAATGGTGTTGGAGATACAACTAATAGGGAGAGAGCAATTATCTAGAACACTCACAAAGCTCTGTGTTTAGTCCCTAGGAAAACTGAAGGAATAGGATTAATTATTCAGAAAATATTGGGTGAGTCTAGCATAAAATTTTGTGACCCAACATAGACACCTTAACCTAGGAGATGATTAAGGAGAGAGTTGACTGAGTATGAAGATACAGTCTGCTTGGACAAAATGTAGGAAAGTGTTGATTGATAATTAAGAATAAAATAAAAAAATGGAAGTGAATGGTACTGTATCTTTTTAGTGACAAAACACACATTAGTGGTATTTTACTATATAATGATATTTACATGCAAAATATGTTGCATTGTTATAAAATTGAAAGAAAAGTCCATTCTATAGCAAGTGCCATTTGCAATGACAGAGGACACATATAAGATGGGAGGCAAAAGATCTTTGTCTATTTTTTACAAATGCATCACATATACCTAGAGTCAAATTAAATAAGCCCAAGTCTTTTCAGACCATGTAGTTCCAGACTTGAAGTTTCTTAATAATATTCCAGATATATTAATAAACAAATTAAGAAAGAATATAGCTGTAATTTACTATTGATCTGGCTAATAGCTATTTTGATAAAAAACAACATCTTACTTTTCTTGGGTTACTTAGATGGGAACCCCTGAAGTGTACACCTGTCCACATCTCACCCACAGTACAAACCCATTCACATCACACCTGCAGTGCATACCTGTCCACATCTTACCTCCAGTGCACACCCCTCCACATCCCACCTGCAGTGCACACCCATCCACATCACACCTGTAGTGCACACCTGTCAGCATCTCACCGCAGTGCACACCTGTTCACATTTCACCTGCAGTGCACACTTTTATCCACATCTCACCTGCAGTGCACACCCATCCAACTCTCACCTGTTGTACACACCCATCCACATTTTACGTCTTATACACACCCATCCCTTTCTCATGGCAATGCCCTGTACAGACTCTTAGCTGTCAGTGTTGCCTCTTTTAAGATATTGCGTCACTGTGAAATATGAAATCATTCTAACATTCATGTGAAAACCCATTTGCTAAATATTCTGAGTTCTCATTCTGACTTTCTAATGTATCCTGCATAGAAGACTTCAGAAAGATGAAATTTGTGTTTCACGAGTTATGATTGACACCTGCTTTCCTTACAGTTTTTCTTATGTTGAAGACATGGGGAGAGCTTAGCCCTGATTAAAACAGCAGCAACCCCATGACCGAATACAAATACACACAGGGAGACGGTGCACGGTGGACCTTCCATGTGCTTTGTTCCGATGGTTGCAGTGACTGATGGTTTCCTAGTTCACGTTCACGAGGCTAGGGTTCCTGTTTCAATCGTCCTCCATGCCACTAGAGCAACCCGACCTTGTCTCTGTCACGACAGTTTGCGGACATTTCGTAGAGACTGATATTCTCTCCCAAGCGGTTGGTGTGGTAGATAATGAATTTGTCCCAGCCTCTCAGTATCCATCTCAGTGTCCCAGCCTCTCAGTATCCATCTCAGGACTCTAGAAGCCACCACAGCTTCAACTTTTCAAGCTGCTTTTTAAATAATTCATTTGTGAATAAATGCTGAAACCACTACTTGGGTGGTGTGTGCTCAACAAGCATTTCTGTGTGATGCTGAGTCCTCAGAACTCACAATCCGAGCCAAAGCTCACAGAGGACAGTCCTTTCCATCATCTCTGTGCCTTCCCAGCTACAGCTAAGAGCTGCAGTTTCCACAAGACAAAGAGGATCATTTTCCTCTCTTCCACTTTGGCTCACCTCTGCAGAGGATCTGGGAGATTGGACTTTGAACCTGCTCTTAAGAACCTTATTCAGCAGTGTTGTAGGATATGAAATTAAGACAGTTATATCAATTGTGTTTCTGTACACTATCTAGTTTTTTTTTATTGATTTTATTGAGCTCTACATTTTCTCTGCTCCCCTTCCTACCTCTCCCCTCCCCTTCAACCCTCTCGCAGTGTCCCCATGCTCCCAATTTACTCAAGAGATCTTATCTTTTTCTACTTCCCATGTAGATTAGATTCACGTCTGTCTCTCTTTGGGTCAACATTGTTGTCTATGTTCTCCGGGATTGTGAAGTATAGGCTGGTTTTCTTTATATTGAGTGAGGTAAACTAGATCCAGAAAGACAAATATCATATGTACTCACTCATAAGTTTTAGACACTATTTAATTTTAAAGTATCATTCTAAATATCATCCCCAAAGAAAGAAAACATTAGGGGAGAATCTTAGGGCAGAAGTGTCACAGCCTTCTTATATGGTCTGTGCTTGCAGAATTTTAAAAATTGTGAACACAGCCAAGAGCTGAGGAACAGAAAATTTTAACTAATCATTAGAAACGGTTCCAGGCACAGGGCCTACTGAGCTCATGAGCACAGCAGGGCTGGGAAGGAACTGAACCATCACACAGTTCCCTTCAGTGTTTGGCCTTTGGAGGTCAGACAGGTAGGTCAGTTTCAGAGCTGCAATTGTCAGGGGTTTACAGGTGAACCGTGCAAGGCAGGCCAGGTTCCTGTTTCTGGAGTCTGAGCCAGACACATGCATTCCATTTCGTTGTGAATGCGTGCACTCGCGAGCATGCGTGCATCCTCGTTGCTAGGAGACAAAGAAGGATTCTTCTCAAACTGAACCAGGGACTTGTCCTGGCAGGACGTTCTTGTGGCGCAGTTGGGATAACTTGTCTGTGTTTCTAAGATTCAGTGTGGGTTTTGGGGGGAAGTGGGTGGCAAAAGGGGGCGGATAGGGAGGGCAGGAAGGGCCTTGGCGGCCCTGGGCCTGAACCATGCAGGAAGACACTGATTATGATGCCCAGACACAAACACCGAGTTCTTCAGGGCAGGCACACTGGTATGCCCACATGAGGGCCTTTAGCCTGGGCTATGGGTGCCTTGAGGAACAAATCGAGCAATGTCCTAAATCCTTCATCCCGTATATACCCGAGAAACTGTTCGAAAGGGCGTCCAGCACAGGTTATTTGTCTACAGTGGATCCCTTGATCACCTCCGGTAAATACCAAGTGGATAATCAGGACAGCAGAAGAAGGTGAGAGAGCTTGTGCTGGGAGATGGGCAGGAGGGACATGGCCAGTAAGGCCAGTCAGGGAGAAGCATCACCTTCCAGGGTTCCTTCCTAAGGGAGTGGAGAAGAAAGGGTTTACTTCTGCTTTCACTGAGTCTATTGGGTTTTCTGCCGGCCTTAGGTCCTTAAGCATCTGGAGTTTGCACACCTTGGAAGGGTCTTGCTTTTGGCCTTTCTGTAAGGGAAGCAAAACAGTTGGTTCTTGAATCCTTTTACATTGCCTCTTTTAGAGAATTTTTATCGGACATTTTAAAGTGATTTAGCTAGTAAGACTATATACATTTAATTTAATTTATTAAGTATATATTTAAAGACATTTTAGACTTCTGTATATGAGTGTTGTGCTTGTATGCAATTTTTTTTGCACCACATGTGTTGCGTTGGATCCACTGGAGTTATGAATGGATGTGAACTGCCAAGTCGGTGGTAAGAATCAAACCCAAGTCCTCTGTAAGAAAAGTTAGAGTTCCTTACCATCAAGCCATCTCTCTAGCTTTTACTATACATGTTTTTAATTCTAAATTATATATTGCAGAAAATTGTATCATGAGATAGATTTTCCTATATGACATCAACATTAAGGCTAAACAAAGTTGCCAAAAAATCTCACATCAGTGTGACCCATGTTTACTTAAGGATCTCATGAGGAAATTTTGAACAGGGACAGTGACTAGGTTCAGCTCTCCTCCCTTGATGTGAGGTGTGTGTAGTATGTAGTGTGTGTGTGTGTGTGTGTGTGTGTGTGTTTACAGATGTGAAGACTGGAGGCTTACAGGTCTTTCCCCATTGCTTTTTATCTCACTAAAATTGTGTGTGAATGTGTGTGTGCGCACGCATGTATTCATGCGTGTATGTGAACACACACACATGCTTGCATACTTGGAGGTCAGAGACAATATTTGGCAGTTATGTTCTGCCACGTTGTGGATTCTGGGGACTGGACCTCCTTGTGGGAACTTGCTGAGCCACCCTGTGGTCCCCACACCTCAGTTTTTGAGGCAGGTTCTCTCATTCACACTCCTCCCCATTGTATTTGATTTACTGTTCCAGAGCTTACTGATTTATCTAGACTTGCAGGCAAGTAAGTAAACTCTGGGATTATCCTGTCTCCACAGCTGTAGAACTAGTGTTTCATGGTGCTGGGGATTCTGAGCTCAGGTCCTCAGGATTACAGAACAAGTACCTTACCAACTGAACCATTGGGCCAGCCCCTCTTTTGTTCTTATTTCATGCTAGGTTACCAAGGGGCACCAATGTCACACAACAGCAATTTTTACAGAGTCCACATGCTTCCTTACTCATTAGTGTAGATCTGAGGGGTTCCTTAGTCTTTTAAGGTGGATCTTCATAAAAATACATGGTAGAAGAATAAATTACTGTTTCCAAAATACTTTTGCTTTATTAGTGCTTTCTTTAAAGCCCTGAATTTTCCCCCTGTATTGATCCATTCTGTCAGTCTATTTATTCTACACACTATTTAGATATCTACTATACACCATACACATTCTACTGTCTCTCAGGAGCCTCCCATCCCTGCAACTCTGGGTTGAAGCCTCCTTGATCATGGAGGATGATTCTTTAAAATTTATTTACATATTGTAAAACTATCTTTTCTCATTTTATAATATCAATCCCAGTTCCCACTCCCTTCCCTCCTTCCACTCTCTCCACTTTCTCTCTATCCTACCCCACCCCATGCACTCCTCGGAGAGTGCAGGGTTTCCTATGGAAGCTAACAAAGTCTAGCACATTGCTTTGAGGCAGGATCAAGGCCCTCCCCCACTGTATCTATGCTGAGCAAGGTATCTCTCCAAAGAGAATGGGTTGCAAAAAGCCAGCACAAGCAGTAGGGACATATCCTGGTTTCACTTCCAGTGGCTCCACAGTCTGTCCCAGTCATACAACAGAGGACCTAGTTTGGTTCTATGCTGCTTCCTCGTTGTCAGGCTGGAGATGGTGAGTCCCCATGAGCTCATGTGATTTTTTTTTGATAGTTCATGGATTAGTTTTAGCAGCATTTATTTATTGAGTATTTTTGCAGCAATGTTCATAAAGGACATTTGTCTGTAATTCTCTTTCTAGACTGCATGATGTGTGGTGTGTGTATCAGGGTAACTGTCACCTCATAAAAAAGTTTAACAATGCTCCTTCAGTTTCTATTGTACAGAATAATTTGAGGAGTATTGGTATTAGCTCTTCTTTGAAATTTTAGTTGAATTCTGCACCGAAACCGTCTGGCTCTAGGCTTTTTTTTTTTTTTGAATCTTTTAATGACTGCTTGTATTTCTGTAGGGGTAATAGGGCTATTTAAAGTTTTATGTGGTCTTGATTTAATTTTATTTTTAATTTTGTTCATTTCTTATAGATTTTTTTCAGCAAATTTTTTGTTAAAAATTTCCACCTCCTCCCTTCTCCCTTTCCCTCCTCCAGCCCCCTCCCCCTCCCTCACCAGTCCAAAGAACAGTCAGGGTTCCCTGCCCTGTGGGAAGTCCAAGGTCCTCCACCCTCCATCCAGGTCTAGAAAGGTGAGCTTCCAAACAGACTAGGCTCCCACAAAGCCAGTATATGCAGTAGAATCAAAACCTAGTGCCATTGTCCTTGGCTTCTCAGTCAGCCCTCATTGTCAGCCACGTTCAGAGAGTCTGGTTTGATCACATGCCCCATCAGTTCCAGTCCAACTGGCTTTGGTGAGCTCCCATTAGATCAGCCCTGCTGTCTCAGTGGGTGGGCGCACCGCTCACATTCTGACTTCCTTGCTCATGTTCTCCCTCCTCTGCTCCTCATTTGGACTTTGGGAGCTCAGTCCAGTGCTCCAATGTGGGTCTCTGTCTCTATCTCCATCCATCGCCAGATGAAGGTTCTATGGTGATATGCAAGATATTCATCAGTGTGGCTATAGGATAAGGTCAATTCTGGCGCCCTCTCCTCAGCTGCCCAAGGAACAAGCTGGGGACATTTCCTTGGACACCTGGAAAATCCTCTAGAGTCAAGTCTCTTGCCAACCCTAAAATAGCTCCCTTAATTAAGATATATACTTCCCTGCTCCCATATCCACACTTTCTCCATCCCAACTGTCCCATTCCCCCAAGCTCTTCCCATCCTGCCCTTTTCACTTCTCTCTTCCCCTCTCCCCTTATCCCCATCCCACCCCACCCCCAATCTCCCAATTTTTGACAGGCAATCTTGTCTACTTCCAATATCCAGGAGGATAGCTATATGTTTTTCTTTGAGTTCACCTTCTTATTTAGCTTCTTTAATGAATTATAGGCTCAATGTCCTTTAATTATGGCTAGAATCCACTTATGAGTGAGCACATACCATATTCATCTTTTTGGGTCTGGGTTACCTCACTCAGGATAGTGTTTTCTATTTCCATCCACTTGCATGCAAAGTTCAAGATTTCATTGTTTTTTACCACTGAGTAGTACTCTAATGCGTATATATTCCACACTTTCTTTATCCATTCTTTCATTGAAGGGTATCTAGATTCTTTCCAGGTTCTGGCTATTACAAATAATGCTGCTATGAACATAGTTGAACAAATGCTTTTGTAGTATGATAGGACATCTCTTGGGTATATTCCCAAGAGTGGTATTGCTGGATCCTGGGGTAGGTTGATCCCGAATTTCCTGAGAAACCTCCACACTGTTTTCCAAAGTGGTTGTACAAGTTTGCATTTCCACATCCTCTCCAGCAAAGGCTATCATTGGTGTTTTTGATTTTAGCCATTCTGACAGGTGTAAGATGGCATCTCAAAGTTGTTTTGATTTCCATTTCCCTGATCACTAAGGAGGTTGAGCATGACCTTAAATGTCTTTTGGCCATTTGAACTTCTTCTGTTGAGAATTCTCTTTCCAGTTCAGTGCCCCATTTTTTAAATGGGTTAATTAGAGTTATAAAGTCTAGTTTCTTGTGTTCTTTATATATTTTGGAGATCAGATCTTTGTCTCTTGCAGAGTTGGTGAAGATCTTCTCCCAATTAGTAGCTTGCCATGACAGCATCCTTTGCTTTACAGAAGCTTCTCAGTTTCAGGAGGTTCCAATAATTCATTGTTGTTCTTATTGTCTGTGCTGCTGGGGTTCTACGTAGGAAGTGGTCTCCTGTGCCCATATATTGTAGACTATTCCCTACTTTCTCTTCTAACAGGTTCAGTGTGGTCAGATTAATATTGAGGTCTTTAATCCATTTGGACTTGAGTTTTGTGCATGGTGATAGATATGGATCTATTTTCATTCTTCTACTGGTTGACATTCAGTTATGCCAGCACCATTTGTTGAAGATGCTTTCTTTCTTCCATTGTATACTTTTAGCTCCTTTGTCGAAAATCAGGTGTTCATAGGTTTGTGGGTTAATATCCGGGTCTTCTATTTGATTTCATTGGTCAACATCTCTGTTATTGTGCCAATACCAAGCTGTTTTCATTACTATAGCTCTGTAATAGAGTTTGAAGTCAGGGATTGTAATGCCTCCAGAAGTTCCTTTATTGTATAAGATTAGTTTTTTTGTTTTTCCATATAAAGTTGATTATTGTTCCCTCAAGGTCGGTGAAGAATTTTGTTGGGATTTAGTTGGGGATTGCATTGAATCTATAGATTGCTTTTGGTAGAATTGCCATTTTTACAATGTTGATCCTCCCAATCCAAGAGCATGGGAGCTCCTTCCATTTTCTGGTATCCTATTCAATTTCTTTCTTCAAAGACTTAAAATTCTTGTCAAATAAATCTTTCACTTCCTTGGTTAGAGTTACCCCAAGATACTTTATGCTATTTGTGGTTATTGTGAAAGGTGGTGCTTCTCTGATTTCCCTCTCTGCTTCTTTATATTTTGTGTAAATAAGGGCAACTGATTTTTTTGGAGTCGATCTTGTATCATGCAACATTACTAAAGGTGTTTATCAGCTGTAGGAGTTTTTTGATAGATTTTTTGGGGTCGCTTATGTACACTATCATATCATCTGCAAATA